TTTTGTTTTTTTTTTTTTTTTTTTTTTTAAGAGCTACAATTGCTAAGCCTAATCTTTGATAAAAAAAAATATGTCATAGCTATGAGTGTTGTATATGCGTACCAATTTTCCATATTAATACCGATCATATTGAAAATTCACTAAGTCGCAATGCGAACCCTTAAGGCCATATATGTAGTCATAAATTAATATTCATATATTCAGTACCTTCCCTAATAACTGTAGTTTCTTCAATGCCTGCCTAACAGTTCAAATTCTTTACCTGGACAGGGTCTTGTATTGGTGCCTAGGTTCATTCAGTATATACTTTTTGCATATTAGACTAGCTGATGTAATCTATTTTGGCCGAACAGCCAAATGTATGTAACTTGCCCTATTAAAATGTCCAACAATTTAGACAACAATAGGGCCTTTTTTGTTGTCGTTTTCTTTTTTATTGCTTTCGGCATGTAGTTTCTTACCTAATGAAACTATCGAAGAGAAAGGAGGTTTATCCTAGTTAATTATTTTCCAGTAAAAAGCAATAAATTTAAAAGACAAGGGGAATAATAATAAACAGAATATTCCATTGCATTTTTGATAAAACGGTATGAAACTGTAATGACGGTCCAATCATTTTTGTAACTAAAGCACGGAGAAAATAAATGATGATCTTATCTAATTTGAAAAAATCTAAGAAAGTAAACGATATTAGTTTCTTCTGATGCATATATAAGTAGCATGAACCTCTCTAGAATTTCAAACAAATCATAGAACAAAATTAAAAGAACCATTTCCAGGGTCAAATATGACTAATTTCAAGACCAAAACCCTTTCTTTTTCACTCATTTTTCTGCTAAACCTCGTTCTTGTTAGATGTTCATGGTTTAACCCTAGAGTTGATATCTACATTATCAATGCCCTCCCCAAGAATTCCAAATCTTTGAGAATTCATTGTCAATCTCGTGACGACGATCTAGGATACAAAGACCTTAATCCAAACGGCGAGTTCTATTTTACATTTAGAAGGAAGTTTATTGGGGAAACAACATTCTATTGCCATTTTTGGTGGAATTCTAAACAGAAAATGTTTGATGTTTATAATTATGATATAGGTGATGAATGTGGAGAGGTAAGTCGTAACAGAAATGAATGTTATTGGAGAGTACAAGAGAATGGCTTCTACCTTGGCGCTCATCGCGATCCTGTTGCTGCTTATTGGAAAATATATGATTGGTAAAACAAGTTATAAAAATAGAAAGCTTGATATAAATCGATAACTTGTACTTTATCATTCCTCTCAAAAAAAGCAAAAAACAAAAGGTGGGTTTTTTTTTTTT